TTCTGCCCTTGTTTTACTGAAATAGATCACACCTTGGGCAAGCAAAGGGCTAGACAATGACAGCTACAAGTTCAGCTACCCTATAAAGGACCATAGGGTAGGAACACCTTGAAACAAGCCAACATCTTTCCTTGATTTGCTCTCCTTGCTTCCCAGCAACTTGCCACCTTTCATTTAAGTCAGAAGTGACTTAAAATATCCTTGCAAGTGGGTAGAAAACAATAGCACACTAAAGAAACTGTTGAGAAACAGTGCAGATTCGAAACAGCACGTGTTGGGCGACCGGTCGTTAGCTTCTTGCGACCGGTCGCATTTTGGCAGAGTGGAAAACAATCGGTCTCATGAAGCTTGCGACCGGTTGCCAGAAGTTCTTGCTCTAGACTTCGAACCTGCCTGAAAACGACCGGTCGCATGCTTCGTGCGACCAGTCGCTTTTGGGCAGAGTCTCCTGAGACCGGTCACTTGAAACGGGCGACCGGTCACTTCCTGTTCTGTCTCCGAAGCTTGTATCCTTTATGCGAGTCAATTTTCACAACAAGGACGGCCTCCGCTTCCAAAGGGATGGAATGTGTTTATAGTTTCTGATAATGGACATACTGGTTTGGGAGAGTTTGATGTTGGGTGGGGAAAACCATTATTTGCTGGACTTGCGAGAGCGGTCAGTATGATCAGCTTCTATGTCCGAGACAACAACCAAGAAGAGGAATTTGGAACTTTGGTGCCCATATGCTTGCCAAGTACGTGTTTGGAGAGGTTTGAGGAGGAGCTCAAGAAGATGACATTGGAGCATGTCGAGGAGATATCTAAATAAGATGTAAAGGCTTATGTGTCTGAATAATTAAGTCTAGTTATCTTGTGTTGTGTGGGCTTTCATTTCTATGGTCGGGTGTGGGTTTGTTTTCCCCTATGCCTCTTTGCATTTGGAGTTAGTTTTTTTATTTTTATTTTTATTTTTTTGTCTCTTCGTAGTTAGGAGAGGTCAGGTTTGTGGTTTGTTTGTACACAAAAATTGTTGAGAAAAACGAGAGTTTGCATCAGGTTATTTAATTAAGTGTTAAAATGTGTAAATTGCTTGAAGCTGTGCTTTGTAAATTTGTATGGATTTGGGGGAGATAGCATTTGGTGATTTTGCTTGCTGTTTTTGACGCTCACGACACGTTTTTGGTATTGTACAAAGAACTATGCGTGAATAGAAGTCCTTTGACAATTTTATGTTGTGGTCACTAGTAAAAAAAACCACTTGTGCAACCAAATTTTGCGCAGATGATAATTTTCTCAAGTGGAGTTTTCAATTGGAATCCGTTCTTCAGGGTTATGATCTCTTTGGGCATTTTGACGGAACTGATGTTGCTCCTCCTGGTTTTGCTACTGTTGATGAGGAGGGTGTTACGTCTGCAGTTACTGCTGCTTACAAGGAATGGATTCGCATTGATAAGGCTTTACTCAGTTTGCTCATTGCCACTCTCTATGATGAGGCCATCGAGTATGTTATTGGCACCAAGACTGCTCGTGACGCTTGGTTGAGTCTTTCCGATCGATATGTGTCGATTTTTGACTCTCTTGTAGTCTAATGCATGTGCGGCACTCTTTTTCCTACTCAGGGTTTCCCACGTGGTTTTACCTGGAAGGTTTTAATGAGGCTGCGTTGTTCTTGGAATATTGATGGATTTTCTCTTCTTTAAAAAAAAACCAGTTTAAGGTGTTTGGTGAAAATAAAATATCTTAATTATTTAAAAGTAATGGTCTCTTGACAATAGCCTTTAAAAGTAGTCTCCAGGTTGTTTTTCAAAGCTACTTTCACAAGAAGCAGGTAAGAGCTTTTAAGGAATTTTTTTAATTCCCGTAATACCATTATTCATATGCCTCCATGAATGCTATGGGCCATTCTAATTTATGGGTTTACTGCCTACTCCATCTTCTTTACCAGTTGCTTATATGGGGTCCTATGATCGTTCCGCTTTGTCTTCGTTGGATAGCAATTCTGGTTCAAGACCCGTTCTTGGTAACAATGGTGGTTTTATTGGCAATAGTCAACGTGGAGGTTTAAATGAATGGGTCCGACACGACCCATTTATTAAATGAGCCAACTCTAAATAGACTGGATCAATCCGATACGACCCATTTATTAAATTAGCCAATTCTAAATAAACTGGATCAATCTGATACAACTCGTTGAACATGTCAATAGTTAATGAACTTGGAAGGACATTTTTCTTCGTGCATGCCAGCGTCACATACGACTTCTGGACATAACTGGTGGTTCGCCTGAATAGATAATTAAAGGGTTCACACCACAGATGGTCATCTTCAGATAGCGAGCCACAGGGTCAACATCCATGGAATTTGACCTTTCTATTATTTGCTCATCAACGCAGCCAACTTCTCCACCGCACACATATATGCATTATTTCTCATATATTCACCAGAAAAAACACATAAAAATAAAATGATAACGTTCACGCGGATGTTGGATCCAATCCCCTGTAGAAGTCAATACGTTTTAAGGCAATAGGGTCATTGGGGTCCTAACACATAAATACGAATTCGATGACTCATACAATGTGATCATTTTGTCGCAATAATACAGGCCCTCGCAGTGTATGAGATGGGTTCACTGTGCCCTCTACCTTTTCCGGTGAACCGATTCAAGCCAGAACTTATAACACCGGTGAAGCCAACGCCAATTGAAACCAAGCAGCTGTCGGATATAGACGATCAGGACGGCCTTCGGTTTCATTTTCCCGTCATCATGTCTTATAAGAACAATCCTTCAATGAAAGGAAACGACGCCGTTGTGGTGATCAGGGAAGCACTGAGTAGGGCACTAGTGTATTACTACCCTTTGGCTGGTAGACTCAGGGAAGGGCCCAACAGAAAGCTTATGGTGGAATGCAATGGAGAAGGTGTCTTGTTCATAGAGGCTAATGCTGACGTCACGCTTGAGCAACTTGGGGACAGAATTCTACCCCCTTGTCCTGTCTTAGAGGAGTTCCTGTTTAATCCCCCTGGCTCTGATGGTATTCTTGGTTGCCCTTTGCTGTTAGTTCAGGTATCTATATAAATTTTGCTGGTTAATTTCAATTAGTTTTTTTTATTTTTTATTCTGGCTTTCTATTTCTTTTTTCATTCTTGAACATAAATATATATACACCCACACAACACTAAAAGCAGGTACAGACCTAGGATTTCAAAATGGCGTGGAATAAATTTACCTTATATACAAACCTATAGAAAACTCAACGGTACGATTGAATTTCATTTATACCAAAAAAATACACCAAAGAGATGGAGAAGAACCAGAAGGCATGCTAGTTGATTCAACATTGTTTCTCTTAAAAAAATCTCTAAGAGTCTTTGATCTCTTAACATTTCGATGTTGATCCGACATTATAAAGTACAACCTATTGAATGATATACAGAAGATGTATACATATAGACCAACAAAATCCCCAATTGATAATTCATAAGTCTCAATTGTAAATCCCTAATTAATACTTCATGAACCCTAAATCTCCAAAATTTCAGTATCAACAAATTTAAAGAAGAAAATTAAAGAAGATGAAGAATTGAAAATTACCTCCTTTAATTAAGTCTTCAAGAATGACATGGAGGGATGATTTTTGTTTTTTTTTTTCGAAGAAGAGGGCTTGGTGAACTGAGCAAAGAGAGAATGAATCTTTTTGCATAACTGGTCCCGTGTGGGGTTTAGTTTGTATTTTTTATTAGTCAGACGTGGTATACTATACTGTAGGTTTGTTAATGGGATTTTATTTGTGTGCAGGGTTAGTTTTAATTTTTTATTGTTATGAACTTATTGGTCAGACATGTGGTTTAGGTTTATTAATGAGATTTTAATTGGCTAGGGTGGGGATGTCACGTGGTCTGGGCTGTGGTATTATTTTAGTCTACAAAAAATAAACTCACCTAGGCTACAGCCCAGTTTAGCCAAGGTGTAGGATCGTGCCGACTAAAAGGACTTTCAATAGATTTCATAGAAGCAAAAACAATGAAAGACAAGCCTAATCAAGGAACATCACTATTCTACTGAGACAAGCGTAAAATATTGCAGGTTTCTTGTTTAGGAAATATTGTATGTGTAAACTTTAATAGGTTTATATATATTCAAAACACATACCTTGATTCGACATTGTGTGAATTACTGTAGCAGGAACCTTGATTTCTTGCACTGGAACTCTACAGCAGGTTCTGGTTCTCAGGTTAGGCAGATTTTATGTAGGGTAGTTTCTCTATGCTATACGGCTCCTTAATCTCTTCTTAGCATAGGGACCTCCCTTTTATAGGCATAGTTTAAGAATCCTCCTCATCATGGATTACTTAAACTCCTTTAACCTAAAGGATTAGGTATCTCAATCCATTTAGAAATAGGAAACCTTAAGCACTTGTATTTATCTGAAACAGTCATATATCAAGCCTTAAAATTAATCGATCCATGTAATCCTAATTGACATTGAACTAGTTATCCTTAAGTGATTAGAAGACCACCTTAGGGTTTAGAATGCAAATCTTACAAGTAGAGCATATCCTATTCTATGGTTTTATTTATTTTTTCCTTTTGTGTAGATATTATGTAATTAGGATTCCACTTATTTCCTAATTAAACCCTACTAGGGTTTGTAACCTGTATTATA